GGCGAGAACGGGCACTGGGGTGATAAAGTCATTCGTGAGGAATGGCACGGGGAGAGATGCAGGTTTTGTGACAACCGTTTGACAATCCATACTCGCGTTGGCGAGTGCATTCCGTAGAGGAGTGTGGGAGATACGAGCATTTTGTACGTCCCGCGGAGGAAAGTTGCCTGCTGGCAAAGTATTCTCGAGCCACTATGGCATCTGCGCACACACGAGATTGTAGCGCTATTATAGAATACCGCTACGTCACACGATCCTAGTACCTTGCATCGGCTACTGAGCTCACTGTCAGTCCTCTAATCTGCGTGCCCTGTACTGCTGCCCTAATACCCGACATGTAATATTTTTCTCGGACCCGGGGCGCGCGTGTTGGTGGATGTGGTGGCCGTCAAGTACACGGGGTTAGATTAGACCTCATCAGGAAATATAGGCGTGAATCCCGCAGACGTTTACCGTTTCCATATCCAGCTGAGGCGACAGCGGGTTCTTGCGGGTACGAGAATGAAAAATGACCACGCTCTCGGCCAAGTTGGGGTCGGGTCGTGTGCTGTTTGATAGGATCTGTCAACGCAACCCCCTTCCGGCCCATGTTTGTCTTGGTGTAGTTTTAATAAGTTTTTTGGTTGACGTAGATCGGAAATGATGCCGCAGATGGTGCACTCTTTGCCGCCAGCCCCATGCCAACTTGACGCCCAACTGGTGCTGCCGTCGTTGCGTGGTGCGCGCGAACAGGCGTCGGTGTCCTTGTATGGTGGACGTGGGTGCGTGCGCATTGCGAGCTGCTTGTGCGCACGTGGTGCTGCCGTGCGTGAAGTGTGCGGTGTGCGTGGCCGTGCCGTGTTCGTGCGTCTTGTGTGGCGTGTAAAGCGTCTGCGTACGGCTCTGTGTGTCGCGTGCCTTTATGTGTGCCGTGCCGTGTGCGCTTGCGGCGTGTTTCGTGCGTGTGCGTGCGCGGTGCTGTGTACGTGCGTCGTGGTGTGGTGTGTGTGTTGTTGTGTGTGTGTGGTGTGTTTGCGTGTGCGTGGCGGGCTGCGTAGCGTGCATGTGTGCTGCGTGGCCCTTATGTGTGCGGTGCGTCTGATGTGTGGCGAGTGCTTGGTTTGCGGTGTGTTGGGTGGGTGTGGCCTGTCGACGTGGGCCTGCGGTGCAGGGGGTGGGTGCAGTGCCGTGTGGTGGGATGCTGTACGTGTGTGTGTGGTTTTGCGCGAGCGTGATGCGCGCGCGCAGCCGTGTGCGCGATGATTGCGTGCTAACAGCGTGAGTGTTCGTTCGTCGCTGTGATGCGTGTGCGCGCGTGGCGAATATCATCGGCGTATGTGCGGTGGGCGGCTCTGTGGGTGGGTGCGGCAGGTGCGTGGTGAGCGGTGTGCGTCGGGCGTAGCTCTGCGTGAGGCAAGTCGCGTCATTTATGTGTGCTGCGTGCGTTCTGTAGTGATGCGCTGCGCCGTGCGCGGGCGGGTGCGTATGAAGCGTCTGAATGTGTGGTGTGCGTTAAAAGTGCGTGAGTCATGTGGCAATCCAGCCAGCCCCCTCGAAATTTAGAGCAACAGGATTGAGAAATAAGCTTAAGCTAAATAATCGTAACTACCCCTAACGTTATTTTTTGGGTCACTGGAAACCAGGAGTAAGTGGAAGTGCTCCAGACACACACTATGGACGATGACGTCCGATCAAAGAGCTGCGCCCAACGAGCTCGAGATTCATCACCATTACAGCAGTTGAGTCATAAAATTTTGGAGGAGAGAGAGAGAGGGGTGGTCTAGATAAAACGGTCGCGCGGTCAAACAGTATTGCGCTGAAATGTGATAAATGCACCTATTTACAGACGTAATATTTAGTCATTGGATATACTAGCGAAGAACCATTTGGTTTCTCTGCCCGCTCTACTTTCTGTCACTACACCCTAATCACTTTTATGCATACGTATCAGGAGAAACTAAAGCTCATAATACAGATAAAAAAATACGTTTAAAAAATGTCCATTAGTGTAACATGTATTCGTATCAATAAGCCCACCATTTACTGGATAATTGAATAATTGTGTAGAGAAAAATTATGTTATTTTCATAGAAATTCTCTTCCTTAATCCACTTCCCAAACCATGCCCTTTTGTTTTAAAAATACAAGAAAATACAAGAAATATTAACAGGCTTAAAAAAGAGCTGTTCCGTTCTACTGGATACTATCAAGTGAGAGCCTCCGAGAGAGACACCGGCAGTAAGAAAACGAGAGAGCACAAAGCTTAAAAGTCCGTGCACTGTCGAGGAAGTTGCAGAAAAGATTACGAAATAAAGGAGGTGAAGACAAGGTATGCAAACCTGCATGGCGCGATTGAACCTCCTTCGTACACTCGGGATGCTCTGAATTGAATTTGAATGATTAATTGATGTGAACTCCGTGAATTGAGGTGACGAGTAAAGAGCGTCATCTGGTCGTGGAGTGTTGGAAGGTCATGCCTGCCTGAATGTGTTGATAATATGTGTTTTGAAAATTTTTCTTTGTTTTCTTACTCTCCGCGTACCCGGTATAGCCATATTTAGTCTTTACTAAAGAAGCTAAATCTAAACCAATGTACTCCTTCAAAAAATGCAAGTATTTTAAATTAGCAGTAAAGAGACAGTGGAGATTATATACTGCTTCTGTTCTTTTGGTTTATAGAAAAAAGAGAATATCTGCCAATAACACAGTGTTGCTTGCATGGTATCAAGTTTTCTATGTTAAAAAATTATTACTGAGTCTAGAGCGTTAACGCAAGCAAGGTAAACATAAAGACTTAATTTTCCATTTAAAAATTGTCATAAATCGTATAAAGAGACGTGGAGTTCGGAATAGGCGGAAAAGATGTTTTTAAACGGTAAAGAAGAATACGGCCCTATCAGGTTAGCTCACTGGGGTAGGACAAGTTCGTAGATAGTGAGAGTGTGATTCGCTGGGATAGTGAGATGCACAGTGAATTGAGGGTATTGTGGCGGGGCTAGCTCGAGAGTAGTTGTGTGCTGTATGTGTGCGAGGATGCGTTCGATCTGAATGCGAATCGAAGGTCCGAAAAGCATCGAAGTCGCATCGCATCGCGGAATGCGGAACCAGTGGGTTGGAGCGGCTGTTCATGATGGCTTGGAGTTTTTGATGATGGGTTGTAACGTTGCAGAGACAGCAAGCGAAACAGTAGCAGGCCGAGAGTTGACCGGATGAAACTGGGTATCAGAGAGAGCATACCGAGAGGACTAGCGAGGGAATCGAGAGGAGAAGAGGAGCAAGAACGAACTGACCAGACGTAGCGGAGAGAAGAAGTGGCTGTTGCGTACTTCTGTCAGCCTACTTCGGGTAGGTAGTACCGGTGTAGCGTACTGCCGCGTTGTTAAGTTGAGTCTTTATGGCCTGAGTGTAGTACCGAAGTGATTTGGGTGCCTAGTAATATTTTTATATTTACTGATGTGTGATTTTTAGGGCCCAATTGGCAGTAGCCTTCGCATAGGACAAAACCTGTGCATCGTGCGTACAAAGATGCACGCAACGCTTGTTGCGACTATCTGTACGGCGGGTGCTTACAAGATATGAAAGAGTAAGAGAAATACCGTAAAGCCGGTCGCTTAGTAGAGATCCGTTAACGCTACATTAGCAAACAGCTGTTGAAGATAGAGAAACGATGGGCCCACCTAAGTGTGATCAGCCGATTTCAATGTCATGTTTACATTCAATAGTAGAATATATGATGATGTGATAGTGAATAAGTAAGAGGTTAGGTTTTATGGTTAGGGTTGTGGGATGATTGTTACGGTTAGGCACATGCTGGTTTATTGAACCGTCGCATGTTCGCCTATCCTGTGGGCCAAAATCACTGTCATGCAGGTAAGTGTCTCCGCTCTGTGTATCGACGTTGTAATTTAATAAGCACATCGACGGCAATCCCCGGAAAAATCACGCTAAATTTGCTTACACATCAAAACTGCAATTCTTTTGTCAATTGATAACGCACACGACAACGTCCATCAGCGACTGATTTTCATTGGCCGGTGATGATAATTTCCGTTGTGCGGTTCAATGCAAGATGCGAGTTTTGTGTGTTATGCGAATTTGTGTCCGGAAGTTGTTACTTGTCGTGATTGTTTTAATATATACAAGATTAAACTTATTAAAGATTGGAGGATATTACAGGCTGCATGACATAGTTTTCTATTCGTAGTAAGAATGCTTTGAATAACGCGATCGCCTTTAGTATTTGCTTTGATTTTCTTTATGTAAGGACGGGTCCGTCATATTAGTAGGAGAAGGTTGTCGTGTCATTTTGCACTCGACCGCCGTAAATAGTGAAAAGGTTGTCGTGCATTTTGCACGACAGGATTCACAGGTTTTGTCTATGGAAGGCTATTGGGCCCTAAAATAACATCAGAATATAAAAAATTTTAGGGCACAATTTATTGGTCTACCCTATGTATAGCCCCACTATTCACAAGTTAACTTTTTCGTTTCTCACTACATGGTGAGAAGGTCAAAAGTGTATGTAACGAGTCTAGCGACTGAACCTTATAGCTAGCAAAGCTTTGTAACAAAACGTACCAATACCTAAGTTCTGTCATCATATGTCACATGGCTGTATATGTTTTTACTGTTTAATCATTCTAGTATTTGCCTCATGTTTGCTGTATTTAGAAGTGCCTCTACTTTTATGCAAAACCACCTGCCCTCGTCGAGTTGTCTTTTAATCAGTTTTCTGCTATACTTTTCTTGCTATACTTTTGCTCTAAACAGTGAACAATAGCCGTTGGTCAGGCCTTTTAAAATGCAGAACGAATATTGTGACTTTCTCTGGGTGTTTTACTGGAAGAGGTTATTTGATGAAAGTGTACATTTGATTTAATAAATATTTGAACATTTCCTTACATCCCTACAATTACTAACTGTACAGTAACAACATGTCTTGTCATGTGGACTCATGGTTATAGTTGCAGTGTTCCTATTATCGATGATGTAGTAATCTGTTTTTGTATTTTATGCTTCAGCTAACGAAAGGGCTATCATAGAAAAAAAGCTTGAAGACACCAACACCGTTCCAAATTCTCAACTAATTGATCACTTTGACTCTCTTCTTCTATCATGGCAGAACCTGCAAAGATTTGTGTCACACTCCACTCTGTTTTTGTCTTCATATGAGGTGAGGTCAAGCATGGAAATATTAAACAGTTTACAAAAAAAGATTAAAATGAAACGTGATTCTGCCATACCAAAGAAAAAGTTTGCTTTTAAAGGACAAAAGAAATTTGATACAAGTGGAAATATCAAACCAGCAGAGTTAGTTGAGGGACAGTTGAAGAAAACTTCAATTCAGGATACTGCCTTTCAAGCAATGGATTGTGGCTTCAGCGACAGAATTGGGGAAACACTGCATGTGGATAATTCGGAAATCTTTGAGAAAGATGTCTCGCTTAGCAGACTCAAAGACTGCATTATGAAACTACATGGTTCCCCAAATACTCTTCACATAGACAAGTTGCAAGGCTGCAAGGTATTCACAGGACCTGTGTTTACGTCAGTATTCATTGATAGCTGCAAGGATTGCACGTTTGTTATAGCCTGTCAGCAGTTGAGAATGCACACGACGTCAGATTGTGATATTTATCTACATGTCACTAGTCGTGCAATAGTAGAGGACAGTAAGGGGTTGCGTATAGCTCCGTACAACTATAGATATGATGGGCTCGATGAGGATTACAAGAAATCCAGATTAAACCGAGAAACAAATAATTGGGATGATCTTGATGATTTCAATTGGTTGGCTAGTGACAAACACTCACCTAACTGGAGTGTACTTTCTGACGAACAGAGGGTGAAAACGTGGGAGGTGTGATTGCTAACAAAATAGTTTGAATATTCTATTGATAAATCTCTGTGATTGTTTTACCTGGTATAAAAATTTAATGAAGTTAATTACATGTATTGAAGGGCTTAAAATGTATGGAACGGATAGTTTACTAGTACTGCACAATGGTTAAATGTGCAAACTAGTTTTATTTGAATTATCATATATTGCATGCATTGTTTAGACAATTAAAATTAGCAATCTTAACATATAGCAATATATGGTGCGTATGGTTGTGCTAAGATGTATGCTAAGATGTGTATTAGTTTATCTATCATCATCAAGTTTTACAGTTGAAATAAATTAGATAACCATTGTTTCAGAATGATCTTTTATTCAGTGCTCAACAACTGATGATGTCACAGGAATGTACACAAATATGAATACAGGGTATCTGTAAATATCGTAACATCCCCCTTTCTTTAACAAAAAAATACCTTATGCATGCAAAATGTTAGAACTAACAGCCTTAAAGATGCATTCCCTCAGACATTTTTGTGACAAACTACTGTAAAAACTTAAGTAAATAACTCGCTACACTTTAACTGAACGTTAGCTTTGAAAATAAAACTGTAAAAATATGTATCAAGCTTATATTCCCTCAACAAAAAACAACTCGAAAAACGCGTTTCGCCGCAGTTCTGTATCATGGCAGCAAGAGACGACGCCGGTCACGTAACCAACACAGCTATGGATATCATATAACACGTGTTATATGATATCTATGAGCACATGGAGCCTTCCTGACCTTCCGCGCTTGGCAACACCGCATGGCAACAAGAGACGCGTCACAACATCGTCGCAGACCGGCAAAAGTAAATGCTTCTTGAAACATTCAACCCGACACTTTCACTTTGTAGTCTAAAGGCTCTTAATGAACGTATTCCTGAGCAATTTTTTTTTACCTATCACCCATATATAGGCAAGTACAAACGTGCAATGTTAAAATAATTCATTTTTGCCTGATTTTATGTTTGCCGCTTGAAACTCCGAGGGAAGACACCTTAAGTGCTAAAAGTCTCCTTTCTTTTGCAACTGATAAAGAACTGTCGCTGGAAACTATTAAAAGTCTCTAAAATTTTACAAGGGGGTGTATTTAGTTAGCATATAAAACAGTTAAAAGGAATTAGTAGTGTAACATGTGATGTACAGATGTTTAAATAGAGTAAGTAGTCAGTGAGATAGACTAGGTTTGTTTAGTGTAGTGCCTAACTCTAGACATCGCGTCACGCACCTTGTCGCGGTTACATTGATGTATTCAGGGAGAATTGTAAACGTGTTGTTAGGTCGGGAGTTTTTCTAAGGTGACGTGAAAGTTTTTGAGCAGAGCGGGTGTAACATGTGGGGTGATGGCGGGGTTTGATAGAGAAAGAGATCTAGGGGTCCGGAGTCCTGGTGTGAATTCCACGAGGAGAAGCGCAGGCGCGCGTCAAACACACGTGCTGCCCGTGCGTTGTCTTTGTGCAAGATGGAACACACCTG